CAATTGCAAGCATTTTCCTGTTTCTTTGTCTGCTGACAATAGTGAATTACTTGACCGCGTCGATATCATGTCCGTAATCCATAGTAATATTTACTGATGACGTTTCGAGCACAATTTATTGCCGCTCATAATCATATCAAGGTAATCACACAACTTTCTAACTTCGTTTTTCATCTCTTGACTTGATCGGTAGTAGTAGTAGTAGTATTTTCCATATTTCCGATATGAGTGATGAGTCATTCCTATTGCACGTGTTGGGTGTAGTAGACTTAATGAACCAGGATTCAGTAATCAATATCTCTCTCCACCTACCTATATTACGTTTTAGAATTTTTACTCCATCCCACCCTATTGTGTGGTTGTGTGTCGATGCATGCTGTGCAATTGCTGAGCTTTTTTCTAAATTACTTATCTTCTCGAGGTCAACCATTCTTACATTAGCTAAATTCTTATGTTCCGATAATTATACTCTACCACAGTGCACAAGCGTCAGTGGCATAACGGTTAGGACGCTCGCCGACCATGCACATGGTCCGGGGTTCGATCCCCGACCGACGCACTCACTAAGCCAGAACTAAAAGCTGGCGAGAGGAGGCTAGCACCATCTAAAAACTGAGCTGCCCTATGTTCCACTAGAGAACGTGAAGGGAAAAACAGTGCACAAGTTCTATTCTTATATCAATTGTGACGTTGTACTGTTAGACTTTCTCTCAATCTATTTGCCTGCCTTCTCAATAAAAACTTCATTTAGGAGCTAGTATAACAAGAAAGCACTGAATCGGAAAAGCCAAACGTATCTGACGAATAAGCTGTTCTGATAGAATGACAACGAAGACCATCAACTTTCCAAATTGATTTACAGATGTCTTCTTTCATAAACTGAAAATGTCTTAACTACTAAACTAATTATTACTAAAAATAGAAGCGAACAAGCAGATAAGACCAGGGCAGAATAACAACAACAACAGAACAAACCAATTCAGGATACAGAGTATGAGGTGTAATCACTGACACACCGCTAGCGCCTTCACCATACACAGCTGCTGAAGCCTAACACACCTTAAAAACTGTCATTAGCAAAAATTATTATCACTTTTCAACTGGAATGTAGCTCATTCAAGCAAATGTACGCCAGTAAAAATATTGATTTTAAATTTCGAAAACAAATATTTCTTAGAAATGTTTATGAAGGCAAAGATTATATTGTAGACACATTCTCATGCCGAAAAACGAAAACAATATATATATATATATATATATATATATATATATAACATTGAAAGATGGGCAGACTATTCTGTCTCAACTGACCTTCGTGTTTTTATCTAATGCGAATTGTGTAAGCATATGTGTAGCACAGTTGTCTTTTACATACATTTATAAATGTATTCATGACTCCAGTGTATGTTCTAAACCCGACCAGTACATACATACTGCTTGTGTGAGAGGTGGAATGAAAGCAGAGGAGACACACTCACACAGTATACGTACAACAGGAAGACAATATTAGTGCACAGCTGTACAGAATTCATTCAATCTAGGCCAATGTTGATTAGAAATTATTGGTTGGAAAACAGTTACAGCGGACTATATAAACATAATTTAAGAAAACAGTTATTATTACTGAAAGACTGTACGAGTGCAGTGACAAAAAGTGTTTTTATAGAAAATTAGGTACGCGTCAATTGGACACAAGGCGGTGATCTTATTTTGATAGAGTTTGTATTTTTTTAATTGACAGGGTTAATACAATAACTGACACAGTGAATGGGTATCTGGACATAGTCACTTATAAAAATAAAGGTATGGCACCATATGCTACTGATGGGTTGAGATCAGCAGTTTAATACCACGCAACTCAACCAATCAATAGTATACAGTTTTATGTGAATATCCTTGCTTTCTCGATTATTATTTACGGTATCGAGCGAAGTTGGTGGAACAGAGGTTAGGACACTCACCGACTATGCACATGGTCTGGGGTTCAGTCCGTGGCCGACGCACGCCTGATATCAATGGTCGGCCTGCAAAATTCCGGCTACCAATATCACATGCTGAAAATTCCATACTTGTACCAAAAGTACTATGTAGAATCAAGCTATAATCAAAAATTAAATCAAAATTATGTATAACTGAATTTTACATTTCCCCGTCGATTGACTGAACCGACCAAAGTCCCCAGTCTCAGGTTGACATGTCGGCTTCTTGTGCAGATGCTTCGACGATGTCTGGGAATGTAATTAGAATTTAAGTGGTGGATAGTGACTAGCAGTGGAATCCAGGATGCACTGGGAAATGCAGGTACATCCAGATGATGAGTCACAAATAAGACGAAACGCGCGTTAACCTGGATTCCACTGCTGGTCACCATCCACCAGTTAAATTTAAAAAAATTATGCTTGGAATAATTCGATTCATGAAGAAAACTTTGGTGAGGTTTCACCTCGAAGTGTGTAGGTTTCAGCCTGTTGATTATTTGGCCATTCAAACATATTCATTACTGGATTTCATCATGAGCTGACATCAGTTAGAGAACCATTGGAAAACCTGGGAGTACTTGACAGCTGTTTCGTCCTAGTTTGGGACTCTTCAGAAGTATGCACCCACCGGGATTCGAACCCAGGACCTTCTGGTTACAAGGTGAGCTCGTATACCATTAAGCCACTGGGGCCCGATCCGATGGTCCATGAATTCTAACTTCTGCCAATTCACGACATAGCGCAACCCCTAGCCAATGTCTTCGGCGAGTATTTGTCCTCACGCCCGACCTGCTGCACCCTACTGGTCACGACTTCTGATGAAGAGTCCAAAACTAGGACGAAACAGCTGTCCAGTACTCCCAGGTTTTCCAATGGTTCTCTAACTGATGTCAGCTCATGATGAAATCCTGTCACCAATCAAATCCCTACAAACCAACACTTGAAAATATTCATTACTGGACTTCTTTCTTACGCTTATCTTGATGAGAAAATACTGTCGATAATATGTTTGACCATAGGTGCCTGCGTTCTATCTCCCATGTGAAGTGGTATAATGGAGTGAGCAATATTAAGGTTAGGCGTCGAGTGCAAGTTAAGGCGGGGAAATCAATCGACGAGGCTGTGAAGCTACATCGACTGAGATGGTTAGGACATGTGCTACGTAAGCCTAATCATCGCCTTCCTCGATCGACGGGCAATGTTAGCTGACATAGGGTGAGGCTGGAAAACAGCTAGCGGCGGTCAAAACAAAACACGTCACCAGTCAATGAAATTCACAACAGTTAGTTTAAGCCACATAGGGAGGTGTAGACTTTCTGGTTGGGGTCGTCGGGACGGTAAAAACCAATGGCTGGAGACAATTAGTGATATGGCTCAAAATAGTTCTCAATGCATAGCACAGATACACCCACTCCTTGTGACTTATAATACCCAATAAAACTATATTGTTCTTCAATATTACTATTCTTTTTACCTCATGTCTCTATTTATTGTCTCTATTTTGCATTTCTTTTTACTTTCCTCTCTAACTTTGTGTGCTGGGTGAAGTGTGGCTACTCGAACTGCTGCACATTGCTGCAAAGTTCTATGTTGAAAACAGATAGACAGACAGATGTGTTTGTAAACGCGAGATTAAAAGCCCAAAGGCTTGTCTCTGCATGGTTAAGTGAGTGCACAGTGTTTATGATTAATTTAAATGAGGCATTAAGAAGACAAATATCGTGAACATCAAAGCGACCTAGTGTTTCAACTTTTTCAAGTGAATACACCCTAGAGGTACTATAAGACTTCTGAACTTGAAGTGTTCGCAGTATTTGTCTTCTTAATGCCCAATTCAACATTACAGTGTGCCTACTTTTGTTTGAAAATAAATGGGTCTATGTGACTAATTGATAGACAGACACATTAACATCGATTAAGGCTGTTTGCTGTCATAACTTTTCTACTCCTTTCGTTCTGAATGGAACCCTGGACTTCAAGTTTGGAAGTTACAATTACAGCGGTGCTTGTTTTACGGGGTTCCGTTGCAAGCTTCATGTAAGCCCCTTTATCCTTTGTAGCTATTAAACTAGACAATTGTGAAATGTGTCAGCTTCCATTGAGTCATAACCACTTTCGAGCACTCTGTCACTGAACTAACACGATGCACGTTGTACTTCTCAAAGGCAGCTGAATAAAAATTCCCTGGTTGTTTTGTTTACTGTGTAAGACTGTGATTTCAGCGAACATCACTAAAGATTTATTTAACTGAATTTTAGATTTTCCCGTCGATTGATTGGACCAAAGTGCTCGATCACTGGGCACTGGGTTCGAGCCTCGGTGGGAACAACATCACCCACTGGGAAATGCAGGTACGTCCATTGGCTGACGAGTCCCAAATAGGACGAAATGCGCCTTATCCTGGATTTCACTGCTAGTCACCATCCACCGGTTAAAATCACTAGTGATGCTTACAAATTTAAACTACAGGAATGCGATACAGAAAATTCCCAATTTGCAAATTAGTTAACAACTTGAAATGTACACAGATCGACGGGTGAAATTTTGCACCACAGTTCTCTTTGAAAGTCGAATCATAATGTGTAGTCTGCTTGATACCACAAATGGAAATAACGAGAGCCGTTTTCCTTGCTTAAAACTGTATACTACTGATTGAGTGAAATGAGTAGTTGTATACCAGATCTCTCTCGAAAGCAATACTAGTTGGTTTGAGCGGCATATAACTACTCATCTTAGCCAATCAGAAGTATATCGTTTTATACGACAATTTGCGTCACTTTCATACGACTGCTTCATTCCATGAAGTGTACAAACAAATCAAATCATCTTTGTTTGTATAATACAAGAGAAATCATAAGTTAACCACGCATGTGTGATCCATTGGAAACTGTTCAATCATCTAAGGTGTATTTTATTCCCTACATTTTAAACTAATATAGTTTTTCCGTAATCTGATATGTTCAATATTACAGATTTCGTCTAACCACTGTTAATTTTTTCCATTGGTTTTATTGGTTTCAGTTGCACCCTTGGTCTCCAGCGTACGGTTGGCTGGTGGTTGGAGACGAAGTTTTGGAAATTGAAGGACACTTGGGAAGTGAACTAACAGAGTTAGAAGCGCATTCACTTATTGAACTTAAAAGTAACTATCTTCGTTTAGGAATTCGACGGTGAGTGTTTTTCAAAGGTCATGTGAAGTTTTCTATTACTTTCGTACCACACTGGGAGACCTTGTCTGTAGTAAAAAGAAATAAAGATTAAAAACATTTACCTGTTACTGATCATTATCTTGGTGGTATCGTATTTAACATCTTCTTTAACACAATTCCAAATTTGCGGTCAATAAAAATGATCAATATAAATTAACCACCAGTCACAATGGTGGTTATCAGGAGATACAGTTATATTATTCATAAAGAATTCACACAAGTTCACTTTATGTTAAAGTCTGTACTGACGATGCTGTCTAGAAGGACATGTATGGCTTGACAAATACCAGTACGTTTCAACAGATCATCTAATAGAACCTGAAGGTCAAGAACTCACAATGGTTTCTGACTGTTGTCCATTAGCGTCATACTGGCTAAATACAATGTTTTCCATTCCTGAAGAGTGTTAAAAGTCTTGGAGAAAAATGCAATAGACAATAAACTAAACATTATATTTTCCTGAAATATATTCACTGTAACACATGACGAAGTGTTACAAATCTCACAGAATTCTCAGCGTGTATTATTGCACAATACTAACTCTTCGTTCAGGATCTTCATGTGAAATAGTAATTGACAAGAGACTGTGTGACGTAGTGCTGTTCATTCTGAACCAACAACCAACCTGTTATCATATTTTCTGCATTTTTACCTTTGAGAAACACACAGTATTAAGTTGGATGCCAATTAAAAGTGCGCGCGAGTATGGTTTGTGACCCAAGGACATAAATGGACAGTTAAAACAACAAAAAATATGAAAATAGTTGATGCCTTATTTCAGATGGAAATTCATGTAGTCCAGTGGTTTAAACAGATGGCTAATAGGCTTGAGAAAAAAAATTAAAGAAATCTATGTATACGACTTTGTGTTATACTGTAACAACAGGATGCAAGACACGGGAGCCAATGTATATTTTTCATTAATCAAACTGCTGTTTATATATCTACAGTTTTATATTCGTTAACCAATCACTGAACGTGTGATTTTGGTTTACCTCAAACGACATGGTAAAGAATGGTCAAATATACATAGTATTCTTTTGTTAATGCAGTATATAACCGTGTGAAAAGTATTTGATCTCTAACATCAAATCGAATGTTCAAACAGACACATTGTATGCAGTATTGAACTGTGGGAATATGTGAGTCTAACATTCCGCTCACACACATTGTCTGTATGACACCACCGCAATATCATATTGTGATATATCCAACATCATACAGCAGAAACTGACTCCAACATCAATGAATGATTAACTTTTGCTGAATGTACCAAATTAAGAAAATATTACTATGAGAATATTACCAATAAAAGTTAACTAAACCGATCAAGATTCATGGGTCAAGTGGTTTAGTTCACAGTGTTTGGACGGAAAGCAACGAAATGAAATTAGTACAAGACTGTTTGTAGAATAAATTCAAACAGCTTTATACATTTACTCATAAATGTGGGGTCACTTAAAATCTTGATCAATGTCACATATCAAGTGACCCAAAACGGAAAACTCAAGGAAGTCTTTGAAGTGAATACAAGAGTAAGACAAGCTGGCTGCCTATTAACACCGACGATATTCTTAACTGTGGTGGACTGCATTATGCATCACACTGTGCATGGGAGTGAGAATACGGGAATATGCTGCACTGATCCATAAGAAGACTTTAGAAGATCTGGATTGCGCGGAGGATTTATATATGCTGTCACACGACATCTAAGATCTAAAGGCTAAAAAAGGCGACAAGTTCGTTGAAGAGACAACGAGGGGAGGCCTACAAGTGATGGTGATAGCCAGCCAGCCACAAAAAGCACCAATTAAAATCAATAGAATAAACTTGAAGGATTTCAGGATTTCATTATGAACTGACTCGGTTAAAGGACATTGGGAACCAGGGTCCACTGAACAGCTGTTTCTTCCTAGTTTGGGACTTTTCACAGTACTTATACAATAAGGTTAGAATGCAGGCCCCCTTGATTGCAAGGTGGTGAGCTCGTAGACCATTCAGCCACTGGGGCACAACCAACTGGCCCTTGAATTCCAACTTCTCCCAATTCAGCAAATGGCACGATCACTAGGGAATTTCATCGGTGAGTATTTGTCCTCACACCCGACCTAATGTACCCCACTGGTCATATCTTCCCACTAGAATCCAGGTAACTACCTACCTGAATGGGGCCAGTCGCTAGTAAGCATTAGATTGGTATTCAAGTGTTGGTTTACAGGGATTTGATTTGACTGGTTACAGGATTTCCTTATGAGCTGACATCGGTTAAAGAAACATTGGAAAACCACCATGGAATACTGGACAGCAGTTTCATTCTAGTTTGGGACTTAGAAGTCACTTCCTTCACTTATCTCGACAGCATGGTTTCAATTACAGGCAGTAGCACGTATGCGAATGTCAAAGCCAGCCAGAATTGGAAAGGCGAAACAACCCGTCATCATTATATTCGGAAATCTCCCGCACTAGGTGTAAGGAACAAAATTAGGATTTTCAACACCAATGTTAAGCCAGTCATCGCTTCTGTATGGGTCAGAAACTTGGCCAGCGTGTCACAAAAAGCATTTTCAACAAGTTGCAGACTTTCATCAACAGTGCTTCGCCTGTGCATTAATTATAAAGAACCGGCAACAGACAGCTGTCGAGACATAGCAGTCAAGAACCTATTGCTCAACAAATATCCCGAAGAAAATGGAGATGGATCCTCTCACGGGCTAAGGAGACTGTTGATTGACAGTGCACTCCAGGTAGGCCACCAAGTGGTACCCGAATAAGAAACGGAGACTTTGGCATGGGTTCGAGTCTAACATCGAGGAGATCGTGTGAGTTGAAGGAGATGACAGCCAGCTAAAGAAACAAGAGAACAGAATAAATTGGAAATGTGCCATTGAAGCCCCCTATGTCCCGCTTGAAAACCAAGGGAATGACAATAGTATAATATCTCGAGAGTTAATCTGCACAAATGCTTTAAATTCAGAATCAAATGAAGTCAGATGTGGGTAAAGATAGATGTTTTATTCTGTGGTATCGTGGAAAGTCCCCAGTTCGATCTTACGCTGACGCTTTGTGATATATTACTGCATAGTTTGCAGTATACTAAGCTTTTGCATAGTTACGCTTACGCCTTCCTATACAAATACACTAATAATTTCGTTTGAAACAATAGGGGTATATAATGCACTTTACCCGTTAGATTTATATATATATTGTAGAAAAGGGAAAATCTTACAAATGAGGAATTAATGACTACTACACTTTGTTATTATTACACTTTATTACATTCATTCGGCATGAAAGGAAAAAAAACGTGACTAGCTTAACTGGCCTTTAAATCACTATCAACCGGGTTAGGCATCATTTTTACCTGCTTGCCTTTTAGTGTGTGTAAAAACCAAAAAAAAACACGTAAAAGTGAGGTTAGCACTCTTAGGGAATCTGAGTGAAGATAATTAATGTTCTTAGTAAGGGAAAGAAAATGCCAAGAACAATTAGTAATCGACTAACACACTTGTAAGTGTTTCGCTGAAAAGTAACTTAGGCAAACGTTCATTTCAGTTAATTTAATAAGCCTTAATTTTCTTTAAAAAAAAAAAAGAATAGAAAGAGGCATATTATGTAGACTTCTGTTTTTGTCCAGAAACTAGATTCTATGCGCTGAAATGCGGCATATCCAAATTCTGAGTATTAAACAGAGAGTTTGCCGAACACTTAATGAAGGCTATAATGCAGCATTACCGATTAACGTCAACAAGTGTGATGGATTGTTAAATCCCAAAGAAAAATACGCATTCAGACACGGAAATAAGAACAAAGAATTCAGCGAAGAGCCTCATTTTTCGGCGAATTCATTCACTTTACTGTACAATCGCAATTTTATTAATTTTCAAAAGAATAGACACTGAACAAAGAGAACTCTTTTCGATAAATTCATCATCAGGTTCTACAATTATATATACATTAGAATGAATGAATGAATTAGTCTTATGAACGACATTAATGTTTAAATAACATCAAATCAATAATATTGATAAATTACAGCTGAACAGCATCAACATCAAATAAACTGAATGTCAGAAGAATTAGGAAAGGTAATGGTACAAATTCATGAGTTTATAGTCTCTACTGAGGGCCAGGGCAGTAGTAGGGGCTGGACTTGTTTCTTTTGGACACAGAGCGCTGGTTGTTTGAGGCGAATTGCAATAGCCTCTGCTGTTTGGAGTAAGCGGTGCTTCGAGGATTTTGGTAGTTTGTTGGGCACCCGGTATATTATGGAGAAGGATTTGTCTACGCTGGCTTTGTGACCGGTTTGCACCAGATGGTCTAATATCGAGCTGTTAATACTTTTAACTACACCTTTGCTTAGCCATAGTGGGATATGTTCTCGAGCACGAAAAATCAAGTTCCTAGAGCAACGGCCAACATAACTCGCTCCACAAGCGCAGTTGAATTGATAAATATAAAGGGGCTTCTTCTTTACAGATAGTGGGTTGTCCTTTTCGGCCTTCTTCGTCATATGTTTCTTGATAAACTTGTCAGGATAACCATTTTCAATTAAAGTATCATATACAATGTCTAATTCATCTTTAATTACTTCCTCAGAGCATATAGCTCTAACTCTGTGGCTAAGGGTCTTCACCAAATTCCTTTTGTATTTGATGGGAACGAAGCTATGAAAGTGTGTATATTGTCCCGTCCAAGTACTTTTTCTATGTAAATTTCTTTTTATGCTTCCGTCTGGCTTTCTTGTAAGTAGGACATCGAGGAAGGCAATTCTGTCTTGGGATTCCTCCTCGCATGTGAATTTCATAGCCGGATGTACTTCATTGAATTCATTAATTATTGTAGTCCTATCGGAAGCATTATCACAAAGAATAAAGGTGTCATCCATATATCGGCAATAAAATGAGAACTTTCTGATAAGGTTGTTCAGAGGTCCATTTTCTAGCTTACTTAGAAAGAAATCA